ATTTAATAAGCACAGATACTCAACAAGCCGGTTACTAACTTCAAGCAGCCTTTTTTTCTTTTCTTTTCTGTTCTGTGACATTTTCTTCTCTTACTGAGACTGGCAGGCTGGCTTTCTGCTGGGTATTATCTGCCTCTGGTGCCTTGTTAAAGCCAGGGGATGTTCCAGACAAGCCGCAAGTTCGCCTTTTAATGAGCGTAAGGAAATGGGGCTGCCTGTGTGCTGGACCAAGCAAAGATCAATGAAACAAAGAGTTGTAGCTTTCAGGGGGCAGACGATAAAAGGAGAAAGGGCTGGGGCAATGGGACGTGGCGGTGAGGTCCTGCACCAGGAAGGAGGGAAGAACCCCCACCCCACACACATGTTGTGGTTATTAAAACCCCGATACTCCCAAGTGCCGCAGTGTGTGGCAATCCCACCCCGCCAGGCAGGAGTGCCCTCAGCAGCCAGGGTGGAGTGGGGAGGGCCTCGTGATGGCTGTAGGAGACAGAGCCCACCGTCCTGGTTTTATTCGTGTGGCTCATTGGGGGACCTTGAATGACTGACCCATCTGCCTCTTTCCGAATGGGCAATTTTTCCAAAGTTCACCCCAGCCCCCAGCTAATGAAATGGGTCTGATAGACACAAACTTGTTAAAAGGAAATTCAGAGCAGGGCTGATAACCGGCAGCTCCCCCGGGGAATAGCTGCTGATGGGTTTCAGGTTGGATTTTAAAAAACTGAATTTAGGCAGGACTTGTCATTTCTAATTCACACAGTATCTGCTGTCTTGGGTTTTCATTTGCCTCTGAGTGTGTGACTTGGTTTCAGTGCAGCCTCTGGTCCAAGTATTACAAAGTGGACTGGAATTGCTCCATTTACGACTTAATTGTATCTCTTCAGCAGTGACATCAAATGTGTATTTCTAAGGTTCCACAAAAATGACTTTGCTGGCCTCACTGTAACATGCTGTATGAAGTGTCTTTCCCTAGAAAATATAGTAAAAATTCAAGTTTGACCTACTCCTTGCTAACCCAAATTGTAAAGCTCTGTTATTTGAAAATGTCATTCAGGACCAAGATTCTTTAGGTTATACTCCACTTTGCTCAGAAAACTTAACCTAGGTGTGGACTGTTTGACTTTGAGGAGAAAACACATCGACATATCTCTAAGTAATGACTTTCAGTCTGTCCGTTTGCCACTTCCCAGAGACCCCCTAAGCCACCCAGAGAGATCAGGAGTAAATGAGTCTCCCACATCTACTAACCCAAACACCAGCGCCCCACCCCGGGCGCCCCACAGTGAAGAACGCAGACTACCATGAATCCTGACGCCCAGTGGGGTCCTTTGTGCCCAACTCTGAGAGACAAGCGGTATTTCCCGTAATAGTTTATTGATTTCCAAATGCACAGGGCGCTGGGTCCAAACATCCTGGGATAGCGGTAAATCTCTTACAAAATAATTTACAGTATGAAGATGATATACTGAAACGTTAACTCAAACGCACAGTTCCCTTGAAAGACTGAGTGTTCCCTTGTTTAATGTACAGGGCGGAAGGGAGGATGACTGAGGAGGGAACCTGACCGACAGGAACGCAGGCAGAGGACCGCGGGTTCACCGGCTCCTTACACGGGCCATGTGGCCAGTCTCGGCAGAAAGACTGAGCAGGTTTGACTCCTGTCTGGTATAAATCTATTGTCCCCTCAATATCAAGGGCGTATCAAGCCCAGCATGGGCTCTGTGGCATTTTTTTTTTTGCACTAGTATACTCACAACTGTCTTAATTCATTTTCTTTTTGTTGCTCTGATGCATGTTTCTGGTGTGTTCTCAGTTGCCGACGATACCGTTTTACGTGGCAGGCCCCAGAGGGCAGGAACTGCTGGGGCCTTGCGGTGCTCGGGACGGGCTGAGGGGGCTCTGGGGACACGCTGGGTAAAGGCAAGGACATGGGGCTGGGCCTTCTTTTTCCCTTAGGGCTGGGCTGACTCCATGTGTTAACAGATTTGTTTTTTAAACAGAAAATTCCAGATGTGCTAGGCACTCGGGGGACATTGCAACTGACCTTCTTATAAAAAAGCTCATACTGAACAGCCACTCTGTGGGCACGGACCTTCGGGTGTGGGCAGGAGGACGTTTTCCAGGTGGGGAAGGGGACTCTGAGGCCCCGCCATGACCACAGGTTGTGGACGCTGCCACTGGGGCCCCAGGCCAGCGCGGCGAGGTTGGACTCTCAGGTGAACGCCTGCTGTCCTGCTCTCCCGCATCATCAGACGACCTGTATGGGGAAGGGCTGGAGTGCGTTTCCTCCAGGGCTGTCACCTCGGCTCAGTGCCTCAGGGTCTGACAACCTTGGCCCGGGAGCCGCTCTCTATGTCGGCGTCTTGTAAGCCCCTGAACTCCGATTATCTGGCGACCCCTGGAATCAGGGCTGGCGGAAACCTTTGCAGTGGTATGAAAACTAATGAGGGGCTGCTCTGAATTTCCTTTAGTGCTCAAACTATGTGTGTGTGTGTACACACATACATGTATAAATGTCATTTATGTACACACACACACACACACAGGTATCAGCAAGAAAGGCTAGACTCACTGGACTTCAGATTGATTGCCACATCCCCGGGGAGCTCGGAACTGGCTAAGTTCACTGAAATACGAGGACTCCCTTTTCTGCAGCCCTGCAGCAGCGGACGTTTTCAAACGAGGTTACAGAGCTGACACCCTTCACCTTGGCTGTTGCTGAGAAGTTCTGTACTCTTGAAGGCCCAGAAATACTTTACTTATGGGGGTGGCACCAAAAAGGAAAGGCTGCCCCAACTCCTGGGGGCAGTCTGAACTCAGCAGTGTGTACCTAATGCATCTGCTTAAGTGGCAGCACAAGGCTACTTTGATGCTATTTTGGAGCCCAACCTACAGTCGGGAAATGTAATTTTGAAACAGGATTAATAAAGTGGGCTGGTCGGACTGCAGTGGGGGGACCTGATGCCTTTTCTCCCTCTGTACTTAGATGTGTCCCACGGGCCGCAGAGTTAGAGAGGGCTGGGTTCAAAATCCGGCTCTGATGAGTCCTAGCTCTGCGAGTCAAGGTACGTGGCTCTGCCACTCCAAATCTGTTTTATCACCAGGACTGCAGGCCCAGTCCAGGGCCTGCTTCACAGTGAGGCCTCTCCACAGGTCATTTCCCTTCTTGGTTGTCGGAGCCGAGACTCCAAACATTTCTTGGAATTACCCTGAATTTAATGACATCAAATAAATAATAATTTTTAAAAAACCCCTCGGCCTCCAGACACCCAGCATTTGGCAGGCGGCCAGGGACTGGTGACGGGACTCAATTAATCCTGCAGACACTCGCTACCTGCCTCCCCTGACGACGTGTGCGCAGGGATTTCTGCGACTGCCTGCAGCCAGTCAGGGTGCACTTTGAGCACAGCTTGTGCTGACCTGGCAGGTGGGGGGGCCTCGTCAAGCTGGGGCGTGGGGCTGAGCAGCAGCCCCGGCTCTGGGGGAGGCTGGTGCCACTGCAGGAAGCACCACAGTTCTCGCGTTGATAAGTGCTGCCGGCAGGAACTTGGGAGCCGGGCAGACTGCTGTGCCGTGTTTACCGCTCCCCTGTTAAAGTCCTATCAGGCGCCAGGGACAGCAGGAACCCACAGAGCAAGTCCGAGATCCTCCCTAAGTAAGAGCAAAAGTGCTCCCCTTGAGGACGAGAGGGACATGATCATTTACTGAGACAGGCTGGTGTGTTTTTAATATTTCCGTTCACATCCACTGAATAAATGCTTGGGTTTCCCAAATACTGATTTAAAGTAATAACTGATGATCAGATATGGAGAGGCCAATGATCTGTCCATGGCTAAGATAAGGCTACTATTTAGACATTAAAAAATAATTATTTGGAAAAGATAACACAAGCTTCCAAATCCTAAAGTCTTCTAAATCTTCTGGTGTTTAAATTCTGATTTTCAGAGCGACCGCTGGGTCTCCTTTAAGGGCAGCCCAGTCGGACATGGTTGGGAGCTGTAATTCATGGGACACCAGGTTCTCCAGCCTTTGCAGGCAGGTAGGTAAAGCACTGGAATTGTCTTCGCTGCTGGCTGGCTACCAGTTTGAGAGAAAAACACCTTTGCTTCCTTAACAGCCCAAACTCCTCCCAGATTTATCAATAAGCCCTGACATATTTAGTGAGCTAGGATGAAGTATATATCCCTGGTCGCTTCCCGGCATCAAAGGAATGATCATTGGACGGCATGCACAGAACTGAGCAATTATAGAAATAGGATTCCTAACAGTAAGTATTGTCTCTGCCTCAAAACCATACTGCACACACACACACATTGGTGGGCCCTCATGCTCTGTGATAGGTACTGGGGAGTCGCGGGCAGGGGGAGAAGGATTTCCCGGGAGCAGGCTCCTCTGGTCCTGCCTCAGGGGGAGGAGAAGGCCAGGCCCTGAGTCAGCAGCAACCCCAAGGCAGTTAGGACACAGATGCAACTGTACTTCTCAAAAACAAACACAAACACCCGATACCACTAGAGGCAGAGCAGAGGGAACACACGGCCCCACCTGCATATAAGAATTACCAGTGAGGTCTCCCGTTTTATCTTAAGTGCGTTGATGTGTACACACATTCTATTTCCTAATATGCCTGTGTTTGTTTTATCTAAAAATAAGGTCACCCCCTGACTCCAAACTATTTGTTAAGTGTAACTGATGATTCAGAAGAAGCAGGGTTTTTAGCTTGCAGTTTGGTATTTCCAAGGACATCACTGCCCATCTGAGCAGAAAAAGCCTGGTTATAAGGAAATGGGAGTTGGGGGCGGGGAGCGGCCAGCAATCCAACTGTGAGGTGTCTCTGCTCGTGTTTCTGCAGAGGAGGGCGGGGCAGGGGCGACCTGACGGCAGCCTGTGTGGGGAGTGTGGGGAGGGGGTCCCGGCTGCAGTACCAGGAGTTCTGTCTGCTGAGACGGAGCTTGGGCTCTGTCTGTCCGGTCACGAGTGATGAGGATTCTCCCCACACTGCAAAAACTCCCATCAAAAATTCCCATTTGGTAATATACATTCCAGCCTTTCATGTGAATAGATTCAGAAAACCTGCAGAATTCACCCAGATAATTCAGGTTTCATCAGATCCTTTAGTGACTATTTTGGAAGCTTAGGCAATTTGAGTGCAGAAACACTGATTTCAACTTTTAATCAGATCTCTTTGGTCCTCTTTTTTTTTTTTTATGTCATTTCCTTTCTAGCTCTTCAATCTTTTTTTTTCATTTCCACAGTACTGAATTATGAATCCAAAGTCTTGCGTGACCTCGTGTGCTAAAAATATCTCTATAAGTTTCTAAATTTTAACTCTCCAACTCTGTTTCCAAGTCATCCGTCTTATTCCACGAAACCGCATTTTCACGCAGGTGCACTCGGAGTTCTGGAGACTACCTGTGTGTGCTCGGCCTCACTCGGCCCTCCTTTCTTTCATGCTTCGATATGAATAAAGCGGGGTTTTATTAGCACATAGGGAAAATATTCCGACTGCCCTTCAAGATTATTCCAGATCCTTCTTAATGAGGACATGCTGTTTGGGTACCTAATATTCCAGGGGTGGGCTTTCCTGAGTAAGTTCAAAGCAGCCAAGAGGAATGACCTCAATGGCCCTTCTTAACTGCTCCTGGCTGATCCAAGGGGCGCTTTTTCTAGACCTACCACATGAAAGGATGAGAAGCACACAGTCAGTCAGCAAGCATGAAACTGGTCATCCCTTGGAAAGACATGCGCCTGCTGTGGATCGGGGGGCGTATCCGGCGGAAGGACGTTTGTTGCCGGGCACCTTTCACAGGAATCAGAAGCTGTTACGTACACGCTGTCACATACACACGAGGGGAAGGAATGGTTTTCCACTGGGGGTGGCAAGCCTTCATGTGTCCTCTTCTTCACTGGCACAGCTGCGAAGGAAAGGAGAACCAGGTGAGTTCGGGCATCACAAGGAGGAAGGTGACCTAGTCGCTGGTGGAAGGCAGGGCTCTGCTGTCGGACCTCCCCGGACTCCACTCCTACCCCCCCCCCCGCCCCCCGCTGCTGGGTGCTGCCGCATGGCCGTGGCAAGTTACCGAGCCGCTCCGAGGTCTGCTTTATTTGACCATAGGCGAAATGATGATGATAAAACCTACTTTCTTGAAGGATTAAGTAAGATAATACATATAAAATACACAAAGCCTGGTACACAGTAGAGCTATTTAAACAAATGTGTGGGTTACAGTATTTTTTAACTTACTTAACAAAATTAATTTCTGGTAAAAATCAGGAGTTTGACATCCCCGAAGCCTTAAGCCATCTATGGTTAGGAGAGAAAGACGAAAAGGAAGCTATTATTCTGCACACCTCACTTGGAATAATGCCAAGGTTTCAATTCATGCCATGGGGACAGTCACTGGGTTCTGACGTCACCTCTTCAGAGAAGGTACTATATCTAAGTAGGACCCCGGTTATTCTTCATCTTCAGTATGTCTTTCATAGCCCTCATCACATCCTGTAAAGTGATTATTTATTCTCCCCTCTATCACCCACTAGAGCATAAAAGAATAACAACACTGTTTTATTTAATTACTGTTCATCTAGCACTAATATCGTGCTAGGCATATAGAAATGTTCAGTCAATAGTTGTTTTTAAAAAGCGAGTGAGGAGCAAATCAAGGGGAAGGGAGGCGGGGTGGGCAGGCGGGAGGCAGCGGAAAGGAAGGCGCAGTCAGCCGTTCCTGCCCTGACCAGAGGGTCCTAGATGTCGGTGACATCTCCGTGGCCGACAAATGAGTTGTGAGTCCCAGGGGAAGGCTGGGGCTCGGCTGCTCGGGTCGGAGCCTCCCTGGCTTGGTGCTTGCAGAGAACATTGTTCACAGAGGGACTGGGGCCAAGAAGGCAGGGCCAGGCAAGAAAGGGGACAGGAGCAAGCACAGGAAAAGGGTGAACGTGGCCAACTTGCCCAGTGTCTCCTCCTACACTTGCAGCGGCCACAGTCAAAACCGTAACAAGAGCTACTGGGTGCCAGGGCCCTGCATTGGGGGCACCTCGGCCGTTCTCCCACTCCCCACGACAACCCAGGACGCGGGGACTCTTGTTTCCGTTATCCCATTTTCCACGAGAAGGGGGTGACGCTCCGAGAGGCGGAAAAATCCTCAATCACACAGGAAGGTGTGTGTGCTCTGGACAAAGTCCGAAGGAGTCGAGACAGTGGTGGAAACGAGCAACACCTCCGTTCCCGCGCGGAGACAGAGTAAGGAAGGAGGGAGGCTGGGCTGCACCAGCCCCAGTTATAACCTAGACGTTTCCATCTCACCAGGGATGATCTGCATCCGTTTAGAATCTGTGCCCTTTCACCTCCATTTGGGAAAGACTTTAAGGGAAAATACCCTAGGCCAGCGATTTTCAATGGGTGTGCCACAAGAATTTTTAAAACACGCAATACCTGACTATTATATCAGGGGCACTGACTTCTTTTCCCTTAGATTGTCAAATAAACAAATGACATAAGCCAACACAACAATAGCCATCTGGTGTGAATGAATCAAAATTACACCTGTTTTTCATCAGATTGGCAAAAAATATATGTATTTTTAGGTGCGCCTCAGTATTTGAGTGATTAGTTTATGTGTGCCATGAGATGAAAAACATTGAAAATCACTGTCCTGGCCACTAACTTGTAGTACTTCTGCTAAGGGGAGAAAATATTTCAATACACAGAGCCTTGCAAATCAAAGGCTTGCTGGTTCGATTCCCAGTCGGGGCACATGCCTGGGTTGCCAGCCAGGCAACAGGCAAACCAGCCAGTAGGGGGTGAGCAACAGGCAATGGCACATTGATGTTTCTCTCTCTGTCTTTCTCCCTCCCTTCCTCTCTCTCAAAACAAACAAACAAAAAAGACACAGAGCTTGACATTGAGGTAAGTGAACTCTAGGAGCCAAAAGAACCGACTCAGCAGCCTTCGCTCTGCAGAGCTCCGCCCTGTGTATCCCTCTTCCTGACTGCGTCCCACCGGGGAATGAAGGGAGCTTGTTAGGAAGGGCTGGCCAGGGAGCTGCCATAAGGAGCCACGTGTTCGGTGACATCTGTCCCAAAGGAAACAAAAGGCCTTTTCTGAAAGCTTCTCACCAGAGTCTAGGCACAGTTTGGACTGGCGTCATATACCCCCCCCCCTTGGCATGACATCCAGAGCCAGCTCTTATTGTTCTCTTGTCGATTTTCCTCCAAAAATGGGAGGTTGGGCATGGTGACTGTGCCCTTTCCCTAGCTGCCATTCATTTTTCGGCATTCTTCACTTGAAATGCATAGTTTACTGGGTTCATGAACCCACTGAAATTGTATACAAAATTTTGTGTGTATATTCCTTTGTCTGAGAGAGGCCATAATTTTCATCATATTCACAAAGAGGTCACCAGCCTCTCCCTCAAATGAGTGTAATAAAATTATAAATAAGTTCTTTCTGAGTTGCCAGGTTTTTTACTATAAGACTTGTAGAGCTGGCTTGGGGGAAAGGTCAGAAGCCATGGTGGGTAAAATCTTTTCTCATTACCCTAAACGAGATCTGTTCTTGGGTCTGAAAGCTATAGTTCATCTCACAGTTTAAAAGCAATGCCGCCCTGAAAGTGGCATTTCCCCGACCGACTCTTTCATCCGCTGAGTGTTACTGACAGGCTGCCGTGGGTCAGGCACCACAGTAGGCGCAGCAGCACTAAGACAGGCCGCGGCTGCCTGCCTGGCCTCACCCGCTAGGTGATGGAGGGAGAGAGAGATCGACGGAGATAGACATAATAGGGACAAGAGGGGGGGGGGAGTTTTTTCCCAGGACAGCAACTTCAAAAAAGCACATTTATTTTCATAGTTAATTAATGATGTGTTTTTCACAATAACAAAAAGAAAAAGGATCTGAACTGAATCTGTAATATAAAGCTTTGCTTGTGCTATGTGTGGTTTCTCCTGGAGGGTTGCCGCTGTGATTAGAGTGGTAGCCTCTCCCGCAATCTCCTCCTGCACTTTGTATGGAAGCTGGTCTATGGCCACAAGATTTTATCTTGAGGGGTCTGTAAGGTCTTCACCTTCTCCAAGGGAAGTAACCCGGCTTCCACCTGAGCCATTTCTCCTCCTCCTCTGAAGCACCCCCAGCACCCTTGGATTTACAACGGGAAGGTGCACAGAGGTCTCGGGAATTCTTCCTGAGGTCTGTTTAGCTGTTGCTCTGAGAGTAAATAAGGCTGTTAGACAGCCCATTCTAGAGTGGGTGTTGACCGTCGAGAGAGGTGGCATTACGCAATCGCGTTCAACTCACCAGACTGACCCGGGTTTAAGTCCCTGCCGTGGCTCCACTGAGCTGTGGGACCTTGGGTGAGTTATTCAACCTCTCTGAGTCTCGTTTTCCTCACAGTAATATTATCTACCTTGCAGGGTTATTGTGAAAGTTTTCGGTACTTCATGCAATATAAATGATTAAAATTGTTGGCTCCCCCCTTTGACACACCTTCCCTCCCGTCCCTAATCAACACCTGCCTCCTCCTAACTTTCCTCCATGTTCCCGGTTTTGGCATCTGAAACGCTACATCCCAGGGCAAGAACATTCCTATCCCCAAACGCTCTTCAAATATGGGAGAGCAACAGTGCCTTCTTTGCTTGCTTACAGAGGTTTTTTGTTTGTTCTTTGTTGGTTTGTTTTTGACAACTCCAGACATAACGAAATACTGATACTGAATAGAAAGACAGGCTGAGTTCTATGTTTCTGACCCTTCTATTTCACAGGTCTCCAGAAAAGTCGGCCCCTGCAAAGCACTGGTGGGGCGAGACCAGGAGTGACGCCTAGGCTGGCTGGTCCCGGGGGCAGAGACTCTAGTTTGAGAGTGTTTGCTGGGTCTGAAGGCAGTGGTTTTACAACGGGGGAGACACATACCCTTGTGGTACGTGACTTTCCAGGGGGCATTTGGGCTTGGGCAAACTTTTTTAAGGAGATGAAGGAACGTTTTTTCACTTAAAAAAAGATTTTATTTATTTATTTTAGAGAGAGGAGAGGAGCGAGAGGGGGAGGGAGGGAAAAGTCAATGTGTGTGAGAAACGTCAATCCTCTGCCTCTCACAAGGGCTTGGCCTGACTGGGAATTGAACCGGTGACCTTTCCGTTTTGGGGGTACTGCCCAGTCCACTGAACCATGCCAGTCAGGGCTAGGCATGGGTGACTTTAAGAGAATAAATGTCCAGATCCTCAACTTCCATATGTAGTCCTTCTTAAAACAGACATTTCCGAGAACGTGCCTGAGACCCACAGGCCCTCCCCTCAGCCGCTCCCAGCTGCATGGCCGCCACACGCCCACTTCAGACAAACACCGCACACCCCTCGCCCTCCTGAATCCCAGTGTGGGGCCGGGGCAGGTTGCTCTGCTTCCGAGAGGAATCCCATGAGAACAGGGCAAGAAATGGCAAAGGAGGCCTTCCCTTAGCTCATCCAGGCACTGAACTCTTGGCAAGGTTGCATGTCCTTCTCTGTCTACATAAGGTGTACAGAAGCTGTTCTATGTTTATTTGAATTGAAAAATAAAATCGGAGCTGGATCTGACAGAAAGTAAGACAAATCTGACTGGACAGCTTGACCATGAAAGCCATCTTCCCAATTATAAGGTGAATTTTATCTACTAATTTAATATATTAAATCTTCAGTGCTGAAGTTTTGACAAAACATATGTCAAACTCATAGCCCCTAAATAAATAAATAGATAAATAAATACCCATACATCCTTTTCCACTATCTAAACTTGATATATAATTTCAGGAGTTAACTTAAAAATGGGCAAGGAGGCATATAATTTTTTCTAAATTATTTTAGGAGCATAAGAACAAAAAAGTTAGGTGAAGAAGCTGAGAGTGGCTACATCCCGACTGGGAGGGTGGTGTAGTACTCGGCACTCCCCGGG